TCGTTCCTACGCAGCATTATCGATGTTTATGGTTTTTATGTGTTGGGGCGGAAACTGATAGACGATTTTTGTATAATTATTACATTTGGCAAATAATTTTCAATTCAAAAATATCCGAATGCACCGGACGTGGTGGAACATTTATTTCATATACAAACCTCATTTAGGGTTTCTCCAAATATGGAATTGGTAGCGTCTCAGATAAAAGTTAGGTTCTCCTATGACAAAATGTAGACGTTTGGTAGTCAATATGCTAGTTTCCGTTGTGTTTACCAAATTCATTCCAGTAGAAGAGATTTACGCTTGTATTCAATTACTAAAATTTATTGCACAATTATAATTAGAAACACCGATTTATTTCCACAATTAATTATGGTAACATGAGACTTTAATTGCGTAAAGAGAATAGATTGAGAATACACTTTTCAGCGTTCAGGAAAGAATTCTATCAATTTGTTTGGCATCAGTATGGTAATCATTCGTCTATAGGCATAAATTTATTTCAGGGATTACATGAAAAAGGATATCCTTCATACCGGTAAACAGTAAGTAAACATTCCCGAAATCATCCATTGATACATACGTAGCTTTATGTGGCCATTTGGAGTTTCGGGCTGCTTACAGAGGTCATTAATGACCCCTGTAAGTTTGTAAGTGATCGGGGGCAAAGCAACAGCCGGTTGTCTGTGTTTGGGCAACATTGTCTGCATACAAATGACCACAATTTAATGGCCATCATTGTAATCAGCATCAATGGTGCTTGTTTGTACGCTTCAGCAGGTCTAGGGGGATGTACTCGGAGATAGCTTATGAGCGAATGCCTAGCATGGAACCGCCTGTTAATGTTATGAAAAGTTACTTGACTATTTTTGATGATTCGCATTATAAAAATTTGAACATGCACAAACATGTGTGTATATTTATGAGTGGCCCAAAGAAACCTTGATAAAAACAAATATCAATTTATTCAGGGAACAGCATAATAGTAGAACGTGCCTCAATAATGTTCCTTTTCGTTTTTATGCCGATGTTGATGTTGATTTTAATATAATTTAATTTATGTTGACACACAAATCACATACATGCGGAGCCAACACTATTGCGTTTCTGTATATTGGATGTGTGAGTGAGCCTCTGACAACTTTTGAGAGCCAATGATGATGTATGTCACTCTCCTGTGAGAGAACATATGTGATTTTTTTTTTACTTCGGACCACTTCTTACCTATTTCCATAAAGAGAGGTAGGGAGATCCGCTACAAATAATAAATATTAGATACAATTTATCACGTCAAAGATGACATGGTTTCCAGCAATGTATAAAACTTAGGAAATTATTACTAATTTGTCATAGTGAATGACTCGCAGAGGAAGAACTCTTTTACGTGTGTTTTCTTATGAATACAGGGGAATGGTAAGTCTAAACACATACATACATACTCTATGCTGATAATATCACAAATGTTGTTTCGCATTAATCCTTTAATACTCCTTTTAATGGCAAAGGCGTTGTTTTGAATGAAGTCGCCGAATTCAAGGATAAATAACACAAAAGCAACAACGGCAATAATTTGATGCTATGCAGGGTGATCCACCATCCGCATCAATTGACTATAACCGAAAAACAAAGGGGGTGGATGTCAGAAATGGTTGTCCATTTCGAGGTTTCAAAAGTATTTAAAATCAATTGTTTTTTTTTCGTTTCAGATGAAAGTCAGAAATTAATCACTCTTGTGATTCAGCCACATATCGTGCTTTAAGAAGAGATTATGGTTTACACAATCTACCAACTACGGATGTGTTAATAAAAAAATGGTCGGATAGGAAATAAATTAGTTAAAGTAACAAAACTTTTTTGAAAACATGTGAAAAATATGATTCTGTAAGATTTATTGCGTAAAAATACCTAAACAGCGGCGTAAACTCAACGCACTTTGCAAAAACATAAAAGATTGTAATAATAATTCCATTGAAACTTTACTCGCGGGGTCGAAAATGCGCTTTCTCTCTCTTGAACATATAAATCATTCAAAAAGTTTAAATAAATCTTTTAATATCGCCGTTATAATAGTGCAGTGCAGCCTATAAATGTGTTTGCCAATAAAATAGAGCAGTAAATGTAACGAATTCAAAATACAAAGTTATCGCCCCTCTGGAGTTCCGTACTATAAAAAACTCAAGTGTCACTTAGGGCGGCAAATTAGTTGCTTTTCGTGATGTATGACATCCATTTTGCAAGGAAATTTACATTCACGTTTATTGAAAAAAAAAAATGTTAATACGATTCAATGTTGAAGTATTTTTAGGTTTAATGTTAATTGAAAATTTCAGAATAACTGCAACATTCTCCATAGTTTGTTGTTCTCAGAAAATTAGGAAAGCTATACAATGTTTTATTTTTGCATGTCTCGGTGAAAACTAGCAGCAAAACTTAAATTTTGCATGAAACCGATTTTTTCGGTTAAAAAAAATAAATAAATAACATTTTTGTTAACATATTTATTTTAATGTTTCTGACTGAAGTATTAAACTGTTAAAGTATGCCTGGGAAAATAACCACAACATCTATAAAACTCATCTATTAGTGGAAGATTTCTAAGTGATGAAAGCCTACCATGAATCGAAAAAGGGATATAAAACAAAGACTACATTTTTAACAACTTCATACCAAAATTATATAGTATGAAATATAAAGTTATAAATACAATGCAGAACTTAGAAATGTATCTTAAAATGTTAATCGAAAGAAACATCGTCCTAAGTCTCATTCATTAATTTAAACCAACCATGCTCATCATATAACATAACTGAGCGTCGATGGTTAAACACACAATGGGAAAAGTGAGAACATATTACATTGAGAATCGATTTAGTAATCCATTATATATATTATATAACGTAAAAATCGATACTAATAACCTACTCGTTTCCCAACGATACGATAAAAAAATTAACTGAACTGAATCAAGAAAACAATAAAAATACAATTTGTGAAGTTAAATTATAAATTTGATGTTCAAAAAATGTAAGTGATGACATCATAATAAAATATTATTATTTCACTTTTTTAAATTGTTGCAACAATAATTTATCACTCATCGATAACATTATGCATTATATGTATAGTATAAAGCAATATATTGTTTTCGTTGGACACGTAGCGTATTGCGGATAATGCATACTGTAATCAACAAGTTATAGTGGATATACATTGCCCGTTCGTTTACCATCGATTACATTTTCCCACTGGGTATGTTCTATAAAACTGCATGATTGTATGTGATCTTGTAGACTTTCCTGTTTAAGTCTATAAACGAAATTCATAATCATCAATAAAAATGTTTCCGTCATTCACCTGACCTTACAGTTGGTTTACATTGTACTGATAAGAAGGTTAACCCGTTAAAAAGTGCTAATGTTAATGTTTAATAATTTTTTAAACTTTTGACGCAAAAAAATCATTAGTATTTGACGTCACTTCAAACAAGAATTTCAGATTGATAGAATTTGTATTGTTTATACAATTGTTTGAAAGTTAAAATACTAATTATGTTATTCTCCATTTAAACTTTAATTAACGGACGCTCTATGAAAATATAACAGTTACTACAATTTTAACAGTTTCAATTCGGAATCATTCACCTAAGAGATATTTGGTAAATCTTCGACGTGGGTCTTTAATTAAGCTCTCGTTGTTCTAATTAAGTGCTTTCGATGCTTTCTCCTCCAATTTTCACATCGAAACAAGAAATTCCTAAGGCCAATTATTATGCAACCAGGCCAGGCTATTTCTACCCACTCCATTTGCTATTTCGAAGCATATTTAATAAATTTCCAAAAATGCTTCGCCACAATGCTGCTGTCGTCCAGTCTCATTTAAACTGTTTAAAATGTCAACTTAATGTGCTTAATTAAATGCCAATGGGAGAAGAAATGGTTCCTTTTGTTATGGCCAAGAAACGAACTGCGTTCCGACATTGTCTGGGCTCGGCATTCGAACTACAGGACTTCCAATGCCGTTCATTACAGGAAAGGCAAAAATTATGGAAACTGTGGACTAATTCGTCGAGTCTGTGTGCGTGTGTGAGTTCGTGATGCCATGAGAAATAATTAACAATTTGTTTAAAGAAATGAACAAATAATGTCCACAATAAATTTTGGTCATAAAGTGTTTTGCGGCTCACTCATCTCTTAGAGACCATCAGCGTTTACGATTTAATTGAAATTATGTACCCCAAGTGTGATAGACTTAATTAAAATGAAATTCTAATTAAATGTATGTTATAATTTCAAAAAGCTCTAAACTATAAATAACTTGTAGATGCTTTGGAACTGTTGTCGATTTTTGTGTCAAAGGCCGACCTGCAAAAATCTACATTACACATGAGAAATCAATAAGGCCACGTTTTAAAGTTCCATTCCGAAATTTAAAAATTCCGACTCACAGTCCACGATATGTAGACCGATTGGGGCCTACTCCTAGCTCTCAGATGTTGCCACAACCTCTTGATACGACTGAAAAATGTTGAAATAAATACGTACAATAACTTGAACGTAATTCATTGAAAAATGTCGTCAATAGATGACAAATGGGTGTGCGTTTGTGACAGAGTCATTCAGTGCTTTAGTCGGAATTTAATTAGTTTTTGCCTGCGGTTTGCATTTTTTGTTCGTTCTCGTTTTTCGTTTCTGTTATTTTTTGTTTCTATCACACTTTCATTCTGTGGCCATGGCCATGCGTTTAGACTCGGACAGGGATGTCTCTTTGTCAGTCACATGTTTCACAGCTAAGTGGAAAAGTAAACAGAAATCCATTAACTCGGCAATTATTGTCCGTCTAAAGGAGGTTTATTCTGCTCCCAGTCTAAAGTCCTCAACACTGTGTGACATTCAAATAATGAGATGAGGTGGATGTGGGAGTTGCTTCGTCGTCATTGTTCCAAGTGTTGCACCGTCTTTAATGAGACACAGTTTTGTTAAGCTAAAGCACGAAATATTAGATTTTATTTATAGATGTTGTGTGTAGTTATGATTCGCGTTCGATGTCGATTTTATAGCCGAGATCAATGGATGCCCGTATGTGTTCCTTGAGATTTATGAACCCATTTCGTAACGACTCCTGAGTCAGGAATTCACGAATTCTTTCAGGGCTGTCACAAAACACTAGATTATCAACGTTGTCAATCAGCTTCTGCAGGGCCACATCCATTCGATAAAGCACAAGTAAAGCTTCAGTGCTCCGACCTACACTCTGCTCGTCGTCCTCACCCCTAAGGCCGCTGGCCAGTTTTACAAAACCCTGCGCAGCTGTAAAGTCTAGCCCGGTGACTTTATGACAATCAATTACAACGGGTATTCGAAATTCGGCCTGCATGGCTGCTTTCAGAACTTTAGCGCGAAGGTGATTAATGGCTGGGAAATATATACCATTGCCGGGTGTCACACATATGTATTGCATGTCGTCCACCTTGGGAAGAAGTTAGAATGTTGGAGCTGTTCGGAAATTATCTATGTGCGTTGCGGTAGGACATACCTCTTGGATTCTGACAGATATTTCGGGCCGAGCCCACAAGAAAAGCAAATGGGCCACATTAATGATGAGGCTGACAAAAAGCCCGACCTCCACGCCACACAGCACAGATACAAAGAAACACACCAGCCACACGCCAAAGTCACGTTTAGATTCTCGCCACAATCGCAGAGGAAGTTTGAAATCGAGCAACGTGAATAGGGAACAAATCAAAATGGCTGCCAGTGTAGCTTCGGGTATGTAATTGAAGTATGGACTAAGGAAGATTAGAGCCAACAAAACAATGATGCCTGTCAAGGGCCGTGCATAATTATCAATTCTTTAAATCCAATACAGAGTTACACTTACCGGAATACAGATTGGCCATGGGACTCTTCAAGCCGCACGCTGTACTAATGGCATACCGAGTAAACGCTCCGGACGTTGGCATGGATTGAAAGCAGGAACCGAAGACATTACACAAACCCAACGTCATAAGCTCATGGTTCGTATCAACCATGCCCTTGGGAGCTACGAGGAAGGAAGGTAATGCAGTTTATGTAGGAAACTAGAGTCACTGAAACTTACTCAACTTTCCTATGGAGATGTTTGTCAATGTGCCTACAATGGGAATGACGATGATGCCCACATTCATCTCTGCTATCATATCCCATAGGGAGTATGTCTTCTCTGGAGTCTCAATGGTAAATGCAGGCAGTGTTATGTTTGGCAGGCCGGACAAGGCGTTCTTGCTGAGCGCATATGGAACCTGCGGTTCGCACTGGAGCCATACATAGGACACAATAGCTGTGATCACAACTATGAGCGTTGTACGCGAGAGGGACAGATATCGACACGTGATCTTCCACATCCTATTGATTTTCCTTTTGGTCACCATTTTTTCCAATAGCTTTTGTGGGAATAGATGTTAATGAATTACGTCAGTATCGCTCGATAACCTACCTCAAAGAGGATGAGAAAGGCGATGGCGCAAATGCCCATGACAAAGTCGCCGGAGTTGGCTTCGGCATGCCTCAAAAATAGTGTCTTCACAGACTCCACAAATCCTGCCACCAGGTACTTAATTCCCAGAAGTACTTTAATTTGTGACTCTATAACCAGGATTGCCGTTGCCGTCGAAAAGGCCTTTATAACGGGCATAGAGATGAACTCGAACATGAAACCTGTAGAAGAATTGTCAGCAAAGAAATACTGGCGAAAATTCATTAGCAGTTACCCATTCGAAGTGCCGACATAATTAACTGCACCACACCACTGAGGAAGGTAAGCATAAAGGCAAACTCGATGGGCTTGCCCACCGTAAACTGCACACTGACCAGGGCCACGAGGCTAGTGGGCCCAATTATAACATTGTCCACTGATCCGAAGATTAAGTAAATCAGTGGGCCCACGAACGCGGAGCACAAGCCATATCGAGCCGGCAAGCCGGCCAAAAGAGCACAAGCAATACTCTCGGGAATTATGGTAAGTCCTAGAGTTATGCCCGCGATAGCATCGTTAATACCCCATTCCAGATTATAGCGACCTATCCAGTTCAGTATGCGTAGCTTGTTGCGTAAGAATTTCTTAGTTTTCGCGCTGACAGTCTGATTGCTGGCTTTCGCGGTGAAAACAATCCGTTGCTGTTTTTTCGATGGCTCGTGGCTCTGCAGCATTTGTATGTTTTCTTCCGTATTTCTCCCCGTATTGTGATCCATCTTAAAGTATGTATTCCTTTTCGCCGTCTCCACCAGTGGCAAATATTACCTGATTAAACTCTAACGAGCAAATGTAAACTGACTGACTCGCTGTCCAAACGGCAATGATCTTGATTTCATCGAACGAGCACCGAGAGCACCCACGAGTGTTGTGCGACGTTACACTTAGGTGACACTTTGTATTTACCCTACAAATCATTATCGGGACTAATTGTCTTATCCAAATTTTCACATTTGCCCAATATATTTTCCGCGTCGTTCTATTTGTGTGTTGATTCAGAGCTCGTTGTATGGCCGTTTTGACTTGCAAGTGTGAAATTCGTTGTTATTATTAAAACGCGTTAAACAGCTGAGCATACATTGCGATTTTGAGGGTAGCGGCCCGATCTACTTAATTTATTTGTTGACATTCAGCTCTCATTTGTCGCCGATGTAGACAAGATCATCATCTTAATTGGGTGCCAGCGTTTTAGATTGCTTTGTCCGTTCATCCGCACATGTATACAGTTTGTATCATAAGACATAACGCACGTCAATAATTTTATGTTATGATGTATTCGCAATGTCGAACTAAAGTCGACGTATATAAAGTGTGGATGTGTTTTTTGGAATAGGTGCCTATTTTAAAGATTATAATTTACGTGGAATTGAAGCACTTTACCAACATTTTATACTCACTGTACAAAACTTACACGCGGAGCTTAGTTGGTAAACATAATCCTATTGTACGCTGGTCTCGGTAAACTGAACAATCTAACATTTCGCACTAGATTCTAATTTACATGGTAGATTCAGGCAGAGCAGAGCCACATTGTGATGTGCTGTTCGATGAAGACAATAAAAAATGTTTAATCTACTGCCGTGTCGGGAATACAATTGTGACCTAGTACTCCAAACTTAAATATTGCGAAAATATGATTTTAATGTAATTTGCATGGAGGGCTGTTAATATTGCATTCTTCTCACTCATTGCGACTATTAATTAGTTCGTCGGAAACCTGATGTTGTGGTGATGTGAATGGATATATCTAAAAAGCAAAATGGATACCCATACAAGAAAATAAAAAAACTAACATTAAATATGTTTTTTTTAAACATGAAGCAATTCGTGGATTTCTCTATGTATGCAGTTTACTTAGTAATGTAGTTACTATGTATCCAAATATGGGTAATAAAATGGACCGTTTGTTTCGTTCGTCTTCTAAGTTTAGTTATGAATTCGTTCGTCTTCTAAGTTTAGTTATGAATTCATGCTGCTTCAACACTACGCAATCAGCTAGTGTGAATATAGAGAAAAGTATAGAAAATTGTATTTTATTATTTTTTTATCCAAAAATGCCATGAGTGTTATGGCAAGGTATTCATGAATCTGTCATTCGAAAGAATTCTTAAAAGATACCATGTCTAAGGATTGGTGAAATTGTCATCATTTAGGTATGGTTATAATTTCTTGATGACGAGGAATGCCATCACTTGAGTCCGTCATTGAAGTCATACATCGGCATCGAACAATTTTTTGTCATTTATTTCGCCATGAATTTAAGCACAACATTGACTGCTTATGCCTCTTTTGGTTTAACGTCTGGGCTATATGAAAAATATTAATTTCCGAATTTTCTGATCGAGTCATTTCCAATTAGGTCTCAGCCAATATTCATAGGAATAATGTGTTGCTGTAAGATTGGCGTTCCGACCTGGTAACTGCTGTGAACACCTGTTCTAAATGAGGAAAAAAATGCAAATTTCGAGTATAGATAACTTTTAATTAGAAAGTGTGCAAACAAAAAATTATATTCCGTTTTTTCTGATCGGTCCACGAAAACTTTGGTTGTAAATTATTTTCTTCTCGAGTCGTGGCGTATTAGTAACATTTATTATTCGCCTAAGTGTGTTTGTATGTTTGCTTTCTAACATTTTGACATGCCTTTTGAATTGTGAACCAATGTCACACTATATATATATATAAATACATAATATATGTGTGTATAATGTATATAGAATGTTTGTTTGTGTTCCTAATTACAGGACAATGTGGGGGGCAGGAGTTTGTTTGAGGCAGTTTGACGTAACACAAGCAGAAATTAAAAGTTTTCCTTTCGGCGTAAAGTAATTAAAATTCTAAAGATATTTCCTGCGCTTGGTTCCCCATACGCACAATGGAGAATGATAATAAATTCTGAAAATTTGAAATGCCAACATGTGTGAAAAATATTTGGGTTACATAAAGTTTTTACATCTATAAACACACAAACGTACAGGAAGCCGCGTCAGCTCCAAACATTGAATTGGCTAAATGCCCCAGTTTCGCATCTACACCTAAATGCATATACATGAATGGCAAAGGCAAATGAAAGCAAGCCAAGAATTGAGAACAGCACCTTCGAATTGAAATGATTTCGATTATGGAGGTCACTTTTAACAGTTGCTTTAAGTGCGATAAATGGGGCGCCATACGTCACGTATGACGGAGAATAATGCACTGTAACATCGAAAAAATTCAAATCACAGACTTGCTTAAACACTTTACCTAAGTATTCGGTTGATGTTTGTTTGTGAAAACCATAAAAGTGTGCGTGCCTGCAGTGACTTTACAAGAAGGATGTCCGTCCAAAAACATTATGCCAACGGTTTGCGTACGCCTAGTTGCGCGTAAGCCTCTTCCAGCACTCGTGTGAGCTTCTTTACATCCATTAAAAATTCCCAATAACGTTCAATAACAACGTAAACATTAATTTTTATGTTGTTACAGGACAGCGCCAGTCCTGCGTGAAGATGTTTGATGGTTACTGGCACACGTGCTCGTTGATGCCTTCCGTGAATACGAGATCATGTGCTTAAGCAACGCATAGCAAACACCTGCGCCCATTTGCTAGCGAGGTATTATTCAAAATAAATACTTACAACGTTGTGTATGAAAACGTTTTAATACTAAATAAATAATACATCGAAACAGACATATGAGTATGAGTACCATTCAATAATAGAACATTTCGAAACATATAACGACACCGACTCGCATATGATGTGATTTAATATGGCAGCGGGACGGTGAAAACGTGTTTCAATCTTTGAGATGCAACGATGAAACCCATTTTTTTTTTTAATTAAATGACAACTGTCAATGCAAATATATATATTTAACAATTCGTGTCATCGATTGACATTTTTAAACTAATGCTACATTTACACGATTGAAGGCATTTTGAAGTATTATCAAAATTTTGAAAATGTATTTTGAAGTCCTATTTACACGTTTCAAAAATTTGATCAAAATATTCTTTCAATATATTTCAAAATATTTTGATCAAAGTTTGATCAAAATGTTTTGAAGCTAATTTACACTATTGGTAATTTTTTATATTGAAAATATTGACTTTGAACAGCTGATTTGATTATTTTGAGAAATAGTTTAGTATTAATAACTATGGACGACGACACGTCCATCAGCATTTTTTAATAATGGAGGAGCTGATAAAAATGAAAAAAGAAGAAAACAAAAGCAATATTGGGTTCGGCCTTTTCTTTTGGAAGGTGATGGTGTGTAGTTTTTTTAGAGAGCGATTAAAACTGAATGATCCCGAACTATACAAAAACTTAGCAAGAAGATTTTGATGTTTTGCTTGAACTAGTCACCCCATTAATAGAAAAAGCCAATACTCATATTAGGGAATCTATATGCCCCGGAGAACAACATTGAGATTTTTAGCGACTGGGGACAGCTATGCAAGTCTGACATTCTCTTACCATCTCATATTAATTTTTTAATTATAATTTAATTCGTAAGTAATTTGATTCCATTGTCACTTGCCGCAACAAAAATGTGTAAATAAAAACATATGATATGTATTGATCAATAGAATGAACATGCTGTCAAAATATTTCTAGTCATCAATATTGCCAGATGCCATTTTTTGCCTATTTACACGGCATCAATAAAATCTTCAAAAGTTTTGTTCAATAAATTTTGATCAATTAATTTTGAAGAAATTTAGCTGTTTACACGAGTTGGAAGCATTTTGAAGACAAATTTTGAAGAAATTGTTTTTTTAAGTCGACGTCATTTCTCGTAGACTCCATGAAGTGTCACATAAACACATTTCACAGCATGTTCACTAAAGTGCAACCAAATTCAAAGGTTTATTGCAAAAAATGTGCCAAAAATCTTAAGCAAAAAAGCCTATGTGCAGTGTTTTTATTTGCTGTATGATTTATACGTTTTTTTTTTTGTAGACTTGCGTCCCTCCATAGGAACCACTGATATGACCATTAATATTGAATCATTATTGAATTCTTAAGCCTAAATACATAATTTAATTAGCTGCATTCATAAAATGAACAAACAAAATTAATTTCACTGCCATATAGACGACTTCGTTTTCTCTGAAGACCGTCTGTGAGGACAACATAAGAAACACCCATTTCCAATCAAATGTATACCCCAGATGTAGCACAAAGCGCACACGGATGTATATGTAGACAAAACGCCCTAGCAAACATCCAAACACATGCCCGGCAACGACATTAAGATGTAAGAAACATTTTGGGATGCTAGTCAGGTAATAGTTGAATTCTGCTGCAATAGTCATTATAGTAATGCCACAACAATGTGTGCTTAGAAATTGTAAATACTCGCCACGCACACACGTCCTTGCTTACCACACCCAATAGCTCCAGAGTAGAGGGAGACTGATGTTTGAGGGCAACTGTTAAGTGGGATTCTGAGCATAAAGTCCATCGGTATTTGCCACCAAATCCTTCCAAGTACAGAGAATTGCACAACTGAAAACAATCCAATTTAAGTTCCACTTCTTGGTGGTTGTGGTGGTTCAAAGGAGTAGAAAACGAAGCTGAATAAGAGGAATACAATAAAAATATAATTTAATGATTTTCTCTCCCGATTGGAAATGAAACGAAGTGCAGACAGATTTTTTATGTAAAGTCCTTTGTGCACCCAAAGAGTTTATTTGCTTTGGCAAATGTAAAGGATTTTTGCAAAATCATCAAGAGTATCAGGTCCGGTGCCGACGACATGGACTGGCGAAGAGACAGAATGAAGGAAGAGAGAGAGAGGGCGAGCGACATATTTCGATACGGAAGAAACGACAGCAGCATCATCATGGTCATGAAAACGTGATCAAAATGTTAAATCGTCAACATTTTCATGGGAAACATAAATGATGTCTCCTTTGTTCAATATACACCAGATGATGACATATTTTTCTGCAAGAAAAACACTGCCAAATAATTTGACTCCGGTGGAGGGGTTATAACTCAGTTCAGGTAACTGGTAACCACGGATAGGTTAATAAGTGTCCTTGAGAATGTGTCCATTTCTCGGACAATAATTTCAGTAAACCCTTGTAGAGATTTTCTGTCTCTGGATGGGAATGGGTGGATGTATATTCCGGCTAACATAGGCTGAACTTGTAAAAGAATACTTAAAAAAATTTGACATACAGTATAATGTTACTGTGTAATACGTAGATACATACATTGATTTGCTGATATAAGGAAGAACTTGCCATGGAAATGTTATATCTCATTGAAAATACATCTTCCGACAAAAATGTAAAAATAAATCCATTTGCGTGGACCTCATTTGTCAGACAAAATGTTACACTTCTTTGGTAACTGAGCCGATAACTTCGAACAGATTATTTAATATTTAATGGCTAACATAGATCTTCGAACAGTTAAAATATTTTGGTAATTTTCCGAAGGAAAGTACTTGCACTTGCATTGAAATGTAGGTAAGTGCAATGGATGCATTCTGGTGCACACGATGCTACTTGTCTGCAACGAAGCGGATGTATAAGTAGTCAAGATTCAACCCTCATCGCCCACATCGCATTTGGGACGAAGTGAGGTGACGTGTGAATTAAGTTCACTTGTTGGCACATTTTACTTACACCTACATGGAATTGCATTACACATACAAACACACATCCATTGCATGTGTAGCCAAGTTATGGAAGTGAAGAAAATTACGATGACAGTGCTATTTGCCATGTTCAATAAATATTGGCAGTCTTTTCGAGTTGGTGTGCGTGTAACCCATGTTATGTCGTCGCAACCTTGGGTTCCAGTAGAACAATTCAGAAATGGTAAAAAAAACCTTGTGACCTATTTACAACCAAACATTTGAAATACCTCCATAGTTTTATGCTTCCGCTAAATCTCAACAGCTTCGAAACCACTTTACAACTATAGTTGTTCTTAAGACTAATTGAAAAGTAGGACAAATGCGTAAACATGTTATTTAAAGGAAACAAAGGGCTCTGTATTTATTTAATAAACCCCGACTGTTTAGTGCATTTTTACATGGCAAGGTGTATCATGAAATTTACAACTGCAAAAATGGTGGCCAAAATTGCGCAGTCTCGAAGGCCAAAGGCACCAGCGGCATAACATCTGGATAAAAGAAACAATTGGTGTCAGCAAATAATTCAGTTGCATTTTTCTGGGCATTAACTTACGTTGGTGACTGTGTGATCAGGGACATGGTACCATTCGTGAAGTTTGCGTATTTCTGAGAAGCCATGTCTTCGTATCCATTGAGAACTGTGGTATTAGGATAACGATCGCGTGTGAGGACAATACCAAAAAAGGAGCTGGGATCGCTGGCATTCGTGTAGCCACAAACGAAAGCGTAGTTTTCGTAGTCGGTGTCCAGTAGTTTGTAGGTTGTATACGAAGTGTTAGTGAGCCCATTAACGTACGAAATATTGTAACCACCGCCATTCTCCACATTGCCTAATGTTATGTTAGTGTACATGGTCTGATTGACCCACAGATAACTTGGGGTATTGGAATATGTCGTCTCTATTTTCACCATATTCTGGGATTCCATAATAAAATTTACTTCGACGCAATCGAAATTTTCAGTGGTAGCAGGGTTACGTGCTACCTCCCACCATGTCCCATTAAACTAAAATGCAAAACACATCATCCTTGCAATGTTTGTAAATTGTTGTTCCTCAAACCCAGAACCAAACCCACCTGAGTGCCATTAACAGACATGCCTTCCAATTGTGTACATAACGCAGGGCTTTGCTGGGCGGACCCTAAGCCACTTGCCAGAAATACCGCATAAAGAACAGCAAGTGACAGCATGTTTGGTGCGAACTATAAATAATGTGTATTACGAACAAACTGAACTAAACAAACTGATCCACTGTAGAAAAAACATAGGCCGGTTGTGCTCGAAATGTCTTCGCCTAACAACGATTATTATTATTATCAAAAAATAATTAAAAACTAATTAAGATATGAAACTAGCGCGGAATGATTGAAAATGTACATTTCCATGGGATATTTCTTTTGCGATAATGCTCTCAGGAACGATTTTTAATTCATTTCAAGTGACCACAACATTGAATATAGCTTAAGTGAATCCCGTGACGTCTTGAGCAATTTGTTCAAAAGCGAAAAATAAACAAAAACAAATATTTAATTGTGAAATATGCGAATGTGGTCGTTTATTAATAACTCATTACCAGCAGACCTACCTCCTGAAGAATTTCTGTTCTGTTATGTTTATTACGAGTATTATTATTCGTATTGCCAAAAATGATTAACTTCTACATTTGTTTAATTCATTATGCATAATATGTACATAAATTCAAATTTAGTAGATATAAAAAATATTTCATGTGCTTTGGTATCAAAGTCGAAACACACCGTGACGTCTTCGATAAATTTAATTTAAAATTAAGGTGAATTTATTTGGAATGTATATGAAATACGTGTGTGTATTAGGGTTATGTCGTTTTGGCTTCTTTTCTCAAAAATGATTTGCTGCAGCAGGAACGAATGAATGAAATGGAACGAAGATATAAACCAATGGTTTAATGAAATTTATGATACTGAGTAATGTAGCTTTGTTCTGCAGTTTTCAGTAAAAACACATTCCATATATCGATATAACGATGGAAGCTGACAACATATAAATCGAGTTCTACTGTATTTTCGAGAATTCATTTTCAGGGATATTGAACAAAACAAATCTTAGTTTACGAGTACACATATACGAAACACTTTTAAGTGCATATAACCTCATAAATAAATCATGAGTACCTAAGTCATGGTATCGTCGTCGTATATTTGCGTTGATTATATACCTATTTTAACTGAAGTGAGCTAAATTAACTCATACCTGATTTTTTATTGCTTAGCGAAGAAAAGAGTTAAATATAATAATCATTATTAAAACAATTCATTGAAACTATTTTTTGTTTAAACGCTATTTTCGAAACACATTTTTCGCAAACATTTCCATTGCATTTAAAACAAAACAATAAAAAAGAAATGCCCAACAAGCGTTTAGTTAATTAACGCAATTCACAATTTGGACGTTTTTCAAACGGCTGGTATATGCTCAAGAATTATTTGGAAGTTTATGCATATGAAAACATAATATTATTATATAAAGATGTTATGTATCATTCATTCATTCATAATTTTTTTCATGGGCTAAGAAAACTTAAATAAGCCATAACTCCTGGTAAGTGGAATATATGTAGACATTTAATAAAAAAAACGTACATTCCAGGATTAAAAATGTCAACTTCTTCCTTTTTAAAATGGATGTTGTGTATATTTGAAAAAAAAATGAAATTATTATGATGGAGATGATTCATAATAACTGAGAGTGTATTCTTTAACAATATCTAGAAGTATTGAACTATGGAATGAGTTGCTACTCCGCCACCGATATTGAATTGATAACGAAGGTATCTGAACATTTATTGTTTTTGCCACTGGTAGAGATTGGTTTCAGTTCATTTTATTTCTTTTTTGTACCATATCTTTGCTGACAGGATTAGTTTTCTAGGCAACAGTTGTTAGTACATATATTTACCATTTAACTGATACTACATTTACTACCCGATTTCATTCTTCTATAGAAGTGTATAACATTATTCGGCGCATTTGTTTGTTTTTCCTTGGCATTACTGCTCAATCAATCCATCACCTAGAATTTGTAAAGTATCAACACATACACAATGGATCACCAATATTTATTGCCATATTTTAATTATCGGTTGGTTGGTTTAGCGACTTCTATCCAGCAATTTGTCATTTGGCTTCTTATCTATCTCATTTAGTATATGATTGATTTTCGACATAAAAAGACAATTTTCGTATCGTTTTTTAACTTTCCATGTAGTTGTTAAATTATTGGAAATCTAGTTCACTGTAACCGGTCTATGTTATCTGGAACATAGAACGAGTACACGTACTGTCATTTGGCGTCAATTCACCTTTCAAAATGCCCATTGTTGTCCTCTATACCCTACACCTATATGTATATATATATACTTCACAACATATGTATCTAAATCGCGCCGTCATCACCGGTTATGGACTATAGATCTGTGGAATTTCAATTAAGTACTCGACAAGTAGACATATGTCGGCAACTACAACTACAAGAGCCACGACCGCTCGTCGACATGCGAATAAACACCATTCATTGATGGATGGATGTATCGTCGCTTACAAGCAGCTGGCTCTCGGAATCTTATCACAAGGTTTGAATTAGTTCCGAGCCACACTTTGTTTTCGAGCACAGTACTAATTAGATGCCGAAACAAATGATGTTCCACTCGTTATCTTATCATGTCTGCGGATTTACTGATAAGGGACCTTCCATGTTTCGATAAATACTGTCGATTTGACTTTGTAGGTGCATACGAGGGCCGAAGACTATAGCTAAGAAGAAGACACACATTTCTGTGGGGGACCTTATAGAATATCGTTTATTTTTTTTTTAATCAACAGCAGTTTTAACAAATCAATAAATAGAAGAAGACTTTGGTTTCCAAATGGATTAGCATTAATATTGATAGTCTCAGTTGGAGATCGTAAGCAGCAAATAGAAGACGGCAAATATGGTACTCAGGAGTGGTAATGATGTTGAAGCGGAGCTGGTGTAGCAGCTGCAGGGGAAACAAGTGCAATATTAATATGAGAAATGTTATAGTTTGTCAAGTGAAACTACAAAATGGACTTACTTATACTGGGTTACATTGACCGCAGTGCTGACGTTGAAGTTAGCAAGGGTGGGGGCGGTGTTATTGACCAGCTGGCCGATCCATGTGCTGTTGGGTGTGCTGCTGTTAGTCAGAATACCACCGACTGAAGTCGATAGATCAGTTACTGAGGTGTAGCTACAGAATGTTACATATGATTTGTAGTCTGTATCTAGGATCTTGTAGGTGGCATTTGTGGCTTTGGTGTTTGGGGAAGTATAGTTGAAATTGAAACCGGTGTTGGCATTCACATCGGTGACATTTACAGTGGCATTGGTAAACTGACTCATATAGTTGGAGGTCGCGGACACTGAATTCCATTTGGTGACTACCAATTGGGTATTGTTGTTTGCCAGACTCACGTTTAATTTAACACAGCCGACATTTGAGGCGGGAGCTTGTACAGATTCATACCATATTCCGGTCAGCTAAATTTATATATACCCAATGTATGTACTGTAGTGAGTGACTAAGAGTGGGGTGGTATATTTGATGACAACTTACCGCTGTAGCATTGAGATTAGACATGCCGCTGACAGTCTGACATGGTTGCTGGGCCTGAGTCCCTAAAATTCCAATAACCACAAGTAGAACTGTGCAAATAATGTTACTATGAGCCATCGTTTTGGGGTTTCGTTAAGGATCGTAGCTTTTGTTGAATTTCCAGGAGTGATGTGATGTGCTCGTTGCGATTAGACCCTCTACGATTGCCTGCTAAAATTGTACTGAATTTCTGGTAGCAAAGTTAATAATATTTTATATCAGACTGGGCCCATATCTATTTCCTTTTTATCTTGCCACAAGTGGTATCACTCCGGAGCTTAGAGCCTACTTGATTGTGTGCGTGCAAGTAGTCAAAGATAACAACAAAATATCTGAAGAAAGCAAATAGACACAGCGAGCTATGAACTCACACTGGGTGAGTAATTTGAATATTAGCGTTTTACCATTCAGATGTATTTGGTGTTGAGTGCCAAGCAACAATTAAAAAATATTTATAATCTCAGACAAGGGGATTTTTTCTATTTGCATTTCTGCAAAGGGATTACTAAAGGTGGAAGTTACCTATATTCGGATGTAGACTATCTACCGAAACCTTTAGGTTCAAACTAATCGAACCGTAGTGTATGAGGCCAAGTACCTTAGCACTCATTACATGTGGATTTTTTTCTTTACTGGTAGCCAATTCAATTTTGCAGAAAACAAATTATATTATTTCGACAAACGACAATTCATAAAATAATTCCGAATCATCTATATTTTTCACTATATTTTAACTGGAATATCATTTTGTGTTACATTTAAATGGCGTTAATTTTTGCAATTAATATTGTGGCCGTCCATGTGTTATTTTTTGTATAAGTCTAGAAAGACTCATTACATTTCGTTCACGTTACGATGATGCCACAAGCTATAAACCACAACCAAACTGTGTTTTTCTCTGGATGCATTGGTAGCTTTTGTAATGCTTCTGGTTGACCGTCACTCCAAAATCTACAATTCTGCTCGTCGCTGAACTCAATTTTTAGAGAGAGAGAGAGAGAGAGAGAAAAACGCATCTTCGGCCAACATTCCAAGACAGCTTTGAATTATTGACCAAACTGTTTGTTTGCAGTGAAAACTTCCGATAAAAAACGAGAATATAAAACCAGTGAGCGGAACAGGTATAGTCGGACGGGGTCTACCGGAATCTTTTCCAGGACATGTTTCTCTGATTTAACATTTACGCCATGAGATTCAAATTTTGTCACACAAAAGTCTTGGTTCATTTGATCCGATAAATATAGACTGATCATCATGAAAACAGCCATACTTCTTCGTTGGCCAGATCGCCTTCGTCGTGCAACATGCGTGATATTCGGCTTATAACAGTGGTCTATTGAGTGACAAGAAACTCAGACGAAAATAATATTTTCGGTACATTGCATCCCCTAAATAGCATATGATCATAACCGAAAATTATTTGCGTCGTCCTTGACCATAACCGGAACTTCGAATATTGGCGATAAGCGTTCTTCCTGGTAAAGGTTTACGTATAAAATTTTAAGGCCTACCACTCATCTTGGATATTCCGTTAACGTGATCTTCAGAAGTAAATGTATAAGCCATAGGATGCAAATTTGGTCACTTTCCATACAAAACCAAATGGAACCGCTAAATATTGACGGATTATCATAAAAAGGGCAATGCACGTTCCTTGAAATTAAATAATCGATAGAATTTAGCTGGTCGTAAAATGTTTTCAGCATCAGCAATAATTAAATTTATGTCGCGTCTACTAAAATATTTTACAGCTTCTTTAAATGTATGATATTATTCCAGCCAAAGAACTCTACTATAGGTCTTTGGGAAACAAGTTTGCTTATGGCAGTTGCTACAATGTAGGGTTCAAAACACAATCCACATTCCTGCAGTTTTACTTCCATTATTTTTCGAATTTCAGAGGCATTACACATGATGATATGAATCATAGAACATGATTTAAATCACTCACATCAGTTTTTGAAGCCTAACTGTCAAAGCGCATATCTTTGGAACAGCTTATCGCATTTCAACGAAACTGGTATTTCGGAGAAAAATTTAAGAAATCCTTATCTTAATTCACAAAAAGTACTTAAGTAATTATACCTTTCACTTGACAACAATTTCATTTAAATATCTACAGTATGCCAAAAGTAATAGGAAAAACCAGTAAGGAAAGTAGTAAAGTCGGGCGGGGCCGACTATATGATACCCTTCACCACTATGGGTATATTAAACAGGACTATTATCATGAAATTGTATGAAATAAAATATGTGATATTTATCTAAATGTGAAACGACCTAGATCTATCCATAAACATGTCATTCGTTTCTTACAATGGGACAAAAGTATGTAAATCGACTTCAAAAAATATCAATAGTTAATCCATTGGGCTATGTCTGTACTTCTAGAAAACCCAACTACGTTATTCTATGCTCAATTTTGTACGTTGTGCAAAATTTGATGTCAATCTAACAAATATGAGGAGTTTGATGCACAATTTACTTATATATGGATGCTAAAATGAACCTATTTCAACGAAACTTGGTACAGGTTAGGTTATACTAATTTCAGTACGTTTTGTTCCTATCAGCATATATATTTGTTCCTTGGTGCGTCAATTACTTAAAATCAATCTATAATATAAGGGAGCTATATATAAATCTATACCGATTTCCTCGAAACTTGGCAGACATAATTCTAGGCTCAATTCAGTACGTAATGCCAAATTTAGTGCAAATCGAAAGATATATAGGGACTTTGGTGCACCATTTACAAGAAATCGGACGAAACTATATATGGGAGCTATATCTAAATCTGGACCGATTTTCACAAAACTTGGCAGAACTCACTCTAGGCTCAATTCAGTACGTTATGCCAAATTTCGTGCAAATCGAAAGATATATAGGGACTTTGGTGCACAATTTACATAAAATCGGATGAAACTATATATGGGAGCTATATCTAAATCTGGACCGATTTTCACAAAACTTGGGAGAACTCACTCTAGGCTCAATTCAGTACGTTATGCCAAATTTCGTGCAAATCGAAAGATATATAGGGACTTTGGTGCACAATTTACATAAAATCGGACGAAACTATATATGGGAGCTATATCTAAATCTGGACCGATTTTCACGAAACATACCAGACATAATTTTATGCTCAATTCAGTACGTTATGCCAAATTTCGTGCAAATCGAAAGATATATAGGGACATTGGTGCACCATTTACATGAAATCGGACGAAACTATATATGGGAGCTATATCTAAATCTTGACCGATTTTATCGAAACTTGGCAGACATCACTCTAGGCCCAATTCAGTACGTTATACCAAATTTCGTGCAGATCGCAAGATATATAGGGACTTTGGTACATTATTTATATTAAATCGGACGAAAATATATATGGGAGCTATATCTAAATCTGAAATTATTTTCTCGAAACTTTGCACACATCATTCTAGGCTCAATTCAGTACGTTATGCCAAATTTCGTGCAAATCGAAATATACATAGGGACTTTGGTGCACAATTTACATGAAATCGGACGGAACTATATATGGGAGCTATATCTAAATCTGGACCGATTTTCTCGAAATTTGGCAGACATCACTCTAGGCCCAATTCAGTACATTGTACCAAATTTCGTGCAAATCGAAAGATATATAGGGACTTTGGTGCACAATTTACATGAAATCGGTCGAAACTATATATGGGAGCTATATCTATATCTGGACCGATTTTCTCGAAACTTGGCACACATCATTCTAGGCTCAATTCAGTACGTTATGCCAAATTTCGTGCAAATCGAAATATACATAGGGACTTTGGTGCACAATTTACATGAAATCGGACGGAACTATATATGGGAGCTATATAATTAAGAATTATTTTCCAATATTTAAAATTAACTTCAAAATTTCCTGCCGTTAGAATTTGCACATCAATAGCAAAAATACAACTTTGTGTTTTCGCACAAAGTGACTGATGTCAAATTCTAACTAGTAAACAAAAAAGAGCGCCACTTTGCAACAACAAGCGATCACTTGTTTTTTGGATATTCGTCCACATCACATCTTTTTTCTTTGGATTTTCGTCCACCACCGTTCATATTCGTGAACATTATTAAGGTAAAATATTGTTTATCCGAACAATATTTAATAAAGGATTTAATTTATTTATTATTTGAAAAACTAAAATTCTTTTGTTTTATTTTCTTTTGTTTTCATTTCTTTTTATTGCCTCCGCAAACATTGGTCCATTCGAGCCGAATCGAATTGGTGTCCTCAACAACAACAACAAAGAAGAAGAAATAATTGACATTTTTTGCATTTGTTTTCAAAGGCGCTCTGACTCCGTCAGCATCACATCAACAAGAAAACATCCATCCATCATCAATTACTAATATCTCATAATATTGCTTAAGGTGAGTACCGTCAATATTAGTGAGCATACGCGAGTGTTTTTTCTTTGTTTACAAAAAGTTATACTCATTACAGACGTCCGTCTTACAACACCGTCACGCGTTGTTGTTATTGTTATTCTCTTTAAGAATAACACCACTGCATTTTCTCATTTAACGAGAATACTGCAAAAAATAAAGAAAACAAAAAGTGCAGTGAACCAGTGATAGTTGTGTTGGTTTCATAATTTCGTTTTAAAATAACCCTGTCGTACATTCAACTAACTTTAAACTAATTGAAAACTAACTTTTTTTCAATTAGTAGTGGTTGATAAATCGACTTTTTTACCTGTAACCAACTGACTATTTTTACATTGTGATGTCCTACGAAGTAGTCAATTGTCCGAATTTGCACTACTTTCAGTTAACTTTATAGTCAGTTATCCAGCAGTTAACTTATAGTTAACTTTTTGCAGTTAGCTATATATCTACTTGTTTAAATACGCTTTCAGTTAATTTTTTTAAACTAACTATTTGTAAGTCAAATTGTAGTCAGAGAAAAGTTAGTTTTTTGCACGTTAGGTGAAAAGCCACTATTTGTATCTTGCTGAAATAAAACGAGGTTTAAACATTTACATTATTATAAAACAACAATTTATTAATATAAAAAACATAACAAGGATCACATCATT